CCTTGTCATTTCTAGGCTGGACTACTGCAATGCTCTTCTGGCTGGACTTCCATCAAGCACAATCAAACCTCTACAAATGATTCAGAATGCAGCGACACGACTGGTCTTCAATGAGCCCAAAAGAGCCCAAGTTACACCTCTCTTTATCTCTCTGCACTGGCTGCCGGTTGAGGCTCAGCACCTGCCTACTTCCACTCACTACTATGAATCTACATCCCCTCCAGAAGTCTGAGATCTGCTAATGAGCGACGCCTCATGGTACCATCACAGAGAGGCTCAAAATCACTTTCCAGAACATTCTCATTCATCATTCCTGGCTGGTGGAATGATCTTCCCACCCCTATCCGGAATGCTGAATCCCTGACAATTTTCAAGCGACAGCTGAAAACTCATCTCTTTAAACGCTACTTGACTTCATCTTCAAAAAAAAAAAAAAACCTCTTTATTTATTCCTTCCCTTTTCTAGCTTGTACTTATTTGAACAATGTCTAAGAACTTGGTATTACAACCACTTCATGTGTCTGTTTGCCTCTTTAAGAAGAATCGCTTTATGTATTCCCCAAATGTAAGTCGCTTTGGATAAAAGCATCGGCAAAATGACTAAATGTAAATGTAAGAATCTCTGACACGATATCTGCATCTGCTGATAACAGCAAAGCCCCTTCACCCTATATTTCCTCCACACAGTTTCTCTTCTAGACTATTAGCTAGTTAAATTGCATTCATCTATACCTGAGAAAGTTGTTCACATTCTCTGCCGCTTGTTTGAAAAGTCCCTCAAACTGGTCTCTGGCCCACTGAAAATGACAAACAATTGATTTGTGAATCACATACAGTCATAGCTCCATGTATGGTAGAAATGCAACTGCTGCATTAAAATTGTCACTGTGTTGTCACTGTCTCTTATGGTTGTCACTGTCTCTAATATATAATGCTGTTTATTTACTATCATATTGCATTTAAAGTCGGAGACAACAATACTGCAGTACGCACTTAAAATAAACAGGATTGTATTGTCTTTTGGTGTGGACGCAAATATATAATAGCTATTGTTCCAGTTATCTTTATAGTTATAATTCTTGGTGTAAACAGGCCTTTAATCAACATTTGAAATAACACAGGTTTATCTCCTAAAATGTTTTCATCAATGTTTTCTGATTACAAAATGAGAGAAATTGAAATGGCTTCTTGAACGGCTGCTAAATTGCCAAACTGATACATTTACAATCAAGTAATCTTTCTACGTTTACAAATGCCTTCTGACCTGTAGCGTGTGCTCTATACGGTGAGGGAAGTTCTTGAGTGTGCAGATGGGAATGGCTTTCTGTCCTCCAGATGTGGAGGGTCCGTATGATTCCGTCAGATGTGGTACCACCACCAAAGTGTGGCCTTTACTACCCAGGGTTCCTCCCTCCAGCATAGACTTTTTGTTTCGCACACAGCATTGATCGAGATAGACTCCTAATACATAGGGAGAAAAAAAAATGTTAGACACATATTTACAAGTTTGCATTGTCATTTTGGGTGAGATGACAAACTTGGTTGGCAAACATCATAAAACCGTGCAAAGTTTAAACTCACGTGCATCCACATTATCCAGCGCGGCTGCCACACCATCAAGGTTGCTGTAAAATGAATGTGTGTAGACCTCCTCCGTCTCAGGACACACACGGTTCTGGTGAGCGGTGATGTTCATGTAAGGGTTCATTTCTTTAACAGACTCTGCCGCCACCTCAGACTTCAGTCTCTGAGAAACACAGAAAGAATAATGTAAATGCAGTACATTTTACCACAGCTGAGGGGTAGATTAGGCACACCATGAAGTGGATGTGGCTCATTCAGTTAGATTTCAGGTTCTGTTCTAGACTACAGTCACTGATATCTTAGTGTAACCGTTTCATTTTGTGAAGCGTAAGTCAGTTTTGTAGCTGTTCAGTGCTGTTTTTTGTGCCAACTCATCTTACCCCAATGTCCTTAGAGTGGAAAAGAAACTGTCGATTCAGATTTGATCGCTCAATAGAGTCCATGTCAGTCACCGTGATGTTCCCGCCCTCTCCCGCACCCAGACCAATCAGAGCGAAGTTCTTCAGCAGCTCACAACCAATTGCTCCAGCTCCGACCTGATCGTAGACAGAGATATTTTATCATAACTCCATTCTTCATTGTCACATGATCCTTCAGAAATCATTCTAATATGCTGATTTGCTGCTCAACAAATATTTCTTATTTTTATCAATTTTGTAAACAGTTGCGCCGCTTTATATTTTTGGGAAGCAGTGCTACGTTTATCAGGATTCTTTGATGAATAGAAAGGGCAAAAGAACAGCATTTGTTTCAAATAAAAATTGTTTGTAACATTATAAATGTTTATACTTTATATATATATATATATATATATATATATATATATATATATATATACACTTTAATGTATCCTTGATAAATAAATAAAAATATTTTGTTAAAACAAATTTAAGACCCCAAACATTATAACAGTCTATGCTCAAAATAAGTATTATAAAACTTACATGAGCAAACCATTTTAAAATGAAGAAATACACAATTTAGCAACATTCAGAGTCATCAAAGTAATACACCAAAAAATCATCCCTCCTAAAAATCTGAAATATTTGGTTGAATCACATAAGAAACTCTGACTGACATATCCTTAGTGCTCAACAGGAAATGTCACATGGCACATAAAATATTTCCTGTGCATTCGACACCATTGACTCACTGGTCTGCTCATTGCTCTTCATAACAGATCACCGATAAGATCCAGCAGGGTTTACTGAAACACAAATCAGGGTAATGTCCTCACCTGCTGGTGAAACAGGAGAAATACACTCACCAGAAAATAGCTCTGTTTCTTCAGTTTGTCTTGAAAAGCAGATCCAAACACAGCAATCTGCCCATCATATCGGCTGTCTCTCTACAGCACAGAAGATAAAGATCACTTCATGTGAAGTATGTAAAGTGCTCAGTTGATTATGTTCATCAGAAACAAGACTTTCATATTTTCTTTTCATATGAACTGGCTTGTAGCTTACAGGAGCACAGGCGTCTTCAGAAAGGACTTCATCGTTCTCCTGAGGTAGGCATTCCAGGGCATCAAAGTACAGCCACTGTCTGAGAGGAGTGAATTTACCACTGCATGCCTGAAAGATTTCACAGAAATGCAGTCATTAAAAAATGTGCTTAAATATACACCATGATCTCAAACTCAACTGGTGCTGCCAGAATAAAATGTTAAATGATTAAGCTCACCTTCACCACCTCCTGAGCAGCTAGACCACCAATGAAGGCATTGACAGGTGCCAGGTCACCACTGGCAACCAGGGATAACTGCCTTACAGCGTCTTCATCAAGCTCATCAAACTTTGCATCTGTGCAAAGCTCTTTTGTTATAGTAACCAACACTTCAGCATCAGCCTATAGAGGGCAGCAAAAACACAGAGATGAACTACTCAACTACTACATATGGGTGTAAAATGTGCTGAAGAATCTGACAATGAAAATTCAATGCACTTATTAAGGTGCAATAAATTCAAATTCTACTCTTATAATGTAATATTAAGTGCTTCTTTCTCATTCAAAATACAAATCCTGACCAATTTTCAGTATTAAAATACATTTTTGTCTGTTTTTGTTTGACAGAATGCTGTAAACTGTTCTTCCAGTTACTTTTTTTTAATAGTTATGAACCAAAGGAATCAAATCATATTGTATCAATTTTTATTATGTCACGATGCATTGCACGATTTATAATTGTAATCACTCTGAATCATTGTCAGAGCAAATACGTTATATACCTGTAAACATACACACTTAAAAAAGAATAATGCTTTTAGATGTATAATACATTTTTTTAATGGAGTATATTAATAATTATTAAAGAGGCAGTTTTACAGAACAGTAAAAAAAAAAACTTTTCTTTATCCTTAGCCAACATTTTACACATGTTGACAATACACAATCTTTAAAAATGTTCTGTGAATATATTTATAGACGTACTTTAAAAACCTTATTTAGCATAAACGTTTTGTTGGACTGACCTGGGATCTAGGATGGGGTACCCGGCTGTATTTCTGAGTGAATCTATGCAGGGCCTGGAAGGCCAGATGCAGAGACAGGTTTCTTTGTATCTTGCCATAGTCTGTCATCTCCACAAGCTCAGGATCTCTGATCGCTTCATCCAGAGCCACATTCAGAGGTTTCTGTGAGAATTAAAATATCAACTCAATGACGTGCCCTGCTTTAATGCCGTACGTCGACACACTTCCAGATTTCAAAAACATACTACGTCAGTAGCATCTTAAAATAATTGATTATTCCATACTATGCAGTCAAGTATCCTCACTATGGAATAAATCAGTCATGGGTGATACTTACAAAGCTGAGGATTTCAGTCTGTTTCACTTCAGTTGCCACTCCACCCTTCACATACTCAGAAAAGTTTGAAGTGTTACAAATACTGAAGGAGTAGATGTCTAAAAACATTAAAATATATTGTTATTGACTGATTTGCATTGCTATTGACATTTTCTTGACATTCTCTATCAATGATCAGCTCTAAATGTTTTCCATATGTGACCCTGGACCACAAAACCAGTCTTAAGTCACTTGGGTATATTTTTAGCAATAGCCAAAAAAACATTGTATGGGTCAAAATTATCGATTTTTCTTTTATGCCAAAAATTATTAGGATATTAAGTAAAGATCATGTTCCATGAAGATATTTTGTAAATTTCCTACCGTAAATATATCAAAACTTAATTTTTGATTAGTAATATGCATTGCTAAGAACTTCATCTGGACAACTTTAAAGGCGATTTTCTCAATATTAAAATTTTTTTTTGCACCCTCAAATTCCAGATATTCAAATAGTTGTATCTCGGCCAAATATTGTCCTATCCTAACAAACCATACATCAAAGGAAAGCTTATTTAAGCTTATATAATCTCAATTTCAAGAAATTGACCCTTATGACTGGTTTTGTGGTCCAGGGTCACATATATTTGATCATATGACGCCTACCTCTCACTTTGATCTCAATGGGGCCATAACTATTGAGTTCAGTCATGCCTTGAATCCCAGAGAAATTCACAAACATGCCATCGGTGAACTCGTGGCTTTCCTCATCTGTGCATGTCACTATGCCTGGATTGTCCTATGATGGAAAATAACACATTTTCAGCTCAAATTCATTTTAGGAAAGTAAGAATTGTATTAGAAATGAAGAAATGTTGACTCATAAGGGGTGGTAGCAAATTTGGGAAAATTGTTTTGAAACAATCATTGTTTGCAATTCCATTTGGCACCTCTAGAAAATTACATAGGAACTAAAAATTTTAATCATGTCATATGTCATGTTACAAATCCATAAGACTCTGTTCATGTTTGAAGCACAGATAAAGACATTTTTAATGAAATCTGAAAGATTTCTTTCCCTCCATTGAACGTCCATTCACTTTGACACTTCATGAAGTTCATTAAGAAATAATAAACATAATAAACATCAATCAGTTTAATTCAAGTCTCCTGTAAAGGCACTATCCATTTATGATCAACGCACTTTATTTAGGTTTCATTCACATTTAATTTTAAAATATGGTAAACAGAAGGTCAAAAATGCTTGTTTTAGTTTTTTATATATTCAATGGAGGGACAGAAATCTCTCAGATTTCATAAAAAAATTTCAAAATGTAAAAAAAAGTCTTTATTTGTATTTAAAGTTACTTAAAGGTCTTATAGATTTGAAACCACGTGAGGGTCGGTATCCCTTTAAGAGAACCAAACTGAAAGTGAAAATGTGATTTTTGTCCTGTCACCTTGCTGATATGACCAATCATGGCTGATACTGGAGTCTCTCCATTTGTGTCTCTGACCTCAAATGATTCGCCAAAGTCACAAAAGAGCTGCCTGTGAACCAAACACACAAATCAGATCTGATCCAGTACTATTTTAACCAGCGTCACATATTTTGCTGATTCATGTGATGCAGCCTACCCACAAAGCCCTCTGGTGTCAGCCACAATAAACTTTATATTGTTCGAATGACAAAATGCTCCCACACGTAGCTGCTCTTCTAAAGGTGAATTTGTGAGCACCACCACCTATTGTGATAAACACATTAAATATGACTAAGCAAGAAAAGGGGTTAAAACTAAACTCTAACTAAAACTCTGTATTGCACATACATATGAGTCCAGCATCATAACTCACCTGGAACTTACTGAGGAAGTCCTCATCGAGTTTTTTGGTCCAGGCAGACACTCGAACATAGACATTCAGACTAGAGAGCTGCTTCTCAGAGCACAAAGCCCGGTTCTGACCCAGATCAGCTTCCTTTAGGTAAAACTACAGAGAGAATTTCAAGTACATTTTCACATAAGTGATTATCATTTGTAAAAGACACATCAAAACACCTGAATACATTTATATTTCTACAAATTTCATCGTTCAAAACAGCAGCTCGGACCATCTTCACAACATCATAGTTTGGTTAATAAATAATGACAGAATATTCATTTAGGTGAAGTATTGATTTAATTGCAGTAATATGACCTATTACCTGAGAGGACAGATCTCTCCACTCCACCACACCATCATCCTGAATGGTGACCGATCGAACTCCAGCCAGGATCACATTCTTGGCAATCTCCACACCAAGACCTCGCATTCCAGCAATGAGGACATCAGCCTTTCCCATGCGACGCATTGCATCATGGTCAATCACGTACCTGTTGTGAGATGAAAAATTGCACCATGCATAAAGTAACATTTCCGTACTTGCTGATTTAATATTTGAAACATCTGAACTGTGAATGCTGCCATTTTCAATTGATATATTTTGTGTCACAGAATAAATAGAACATTTGAACTAAATTAAAACAAGCATACATTAAATATTACAAATGCTCTCAATGCTACCATGATGTATTCTTTGCACTTTTAAATAACATATGGAATATTTTCATATAATGTATCAGTAGTACACAAAATAGCATGCAAATTATTTCAACTATGCCAAAAAAAAAAAAAACCCAACCCCAGTTACTTTTGCTTTTGATTTCTTTGAAAAATACCAGGAAGAGACTAGGTGGGGCGTAACTATTCATACAGTATTGCTGACTTGGAACATACAGGAAATACATAACTGGAATTCCTCAAACTAAGTAACTCGACCTCAAAAAGACAATTTTACATTAAAATTATAGCTGAAACAACAAACTGAAATAATTTTTTTTTTAGGTATGTATGTTTTATTTTTTGAACAGAGGAAACCGAAAAACTGTGAAATATATACTTTTAATATATAAATGAAAGTGTAATAAATGCAACACAGATTTTTCTCCACTGGAAATGTAATTCAAGTGATTGCATTCGGTTTCAACAGCAGTTAATGAAAGTAAATGAAGTAAAAACGATTACTAGAAGAGACAGTATGATTACTCGGATGCTTTAGGCTACACCCCGGTGCAGCAGTGAATACTGGCAATGCAATTTCCAAAGATACATTTCCAAGAAACAGAAAGCACAAATAGGTAGACGTTTAAGGGAAAACCAAGATGCAGATAAGGAAAGCAGATAAGAATATTTTAGAGTGCACTTACAGCTGTCGAGAATATAATCCCTCGTCAATATCAGCCTGAGCCATTTTCTGTGAGAATGACAAATCATTGTCAGTGCTGTCCTTTACAAAGACGTACAGCAATGTATCAGATGCTAATAGCATGGTCATTCCTGATTTCCATATTCATGATATTTATATGTTACATGTAATAATGTAATACTGTATTATTAATATGGTGCATGTTAACATGTTAGTACCATAGTACTTTTTTTACATTGGTGGGTCTTTTAAATACACCTGTTTAACACCTGGGTATAAACAATGCAAGGCATTGAGAGTTTTCAAGGATATTGTACATTAGCGAACAACAAGCGACGAATTTATAAATATGGCAACTGTATAATTAGCTATTATTGACAAAAATCGTCAAAGAGTAGGCAATATTTTCAGTAACATTTACCTTTCAGCGGAGTTTGGCGTTTGGTTCCTCGTTCTGTCAGATCAGAAAGTGATCTGATTCAGAGTAAAGGGTTTCACTTTCGTTTCTGTTATTGTGTAACTCTCGGGCCTTTCTCTCACATTCGGCCATATCGAGTGATTAAAAAGCCAATTATTTTTTATTTTGCTTTATCTTCGACAACTTCTGTCACCGGACGCTGAGATTCCTCAGGTGAGGTCAACACCTGCACGAGCTCAACATTGGTGGGTCTTTTAAATACACCTGTTTAACACCTGGGTATAAACAATGCAAGGCATTGAGAGTTTTCAAGGATATTGTACATTAGCGAACAACAAGCGACGAATTTATAAAATATGGCAACTGTATAATTAGCTATTATTGACAAAAATCGTCAAAGAGTAGGCAATATTTTCAGTAACATTTACCTTTCAGTGGAGTTTGGCGTTTGGTTCCTCGTTCTGTCAGAACAGAAAGTGATCTGATTCAGAGTAAAGGGTTTCACTTTCGTTTCTGTTATTGTGTAACTCTCGGGCCTTTCTCTCACATTCGGCCATATCGAGTGATTAAAAAGCCAATTATTTTTTATTTTGCTTTATCTTCGACAACTTCTGTCACCGGACGCTGAGATTCCTCAGGTGAGGTCAACACCTGCACGAGCTCACCACAGAAAAACCACAAGATGGCGCTGCAAATCAACGGCAATAATAATAATAAGAATAATAAGAATTCATTACATTTATATAGAGCTTTTCTAGGCACTCAAATCGCTTTATATTGTCAGGGGGTATCTCCTCATCCACCACCAGATATAACAGACTAAGCTTCAGTGACTGGGCACCAAACGAGCCGGAATTTTTTCTCGAATTGGTCAGATAAGATCACTCAATCGTTCACCCGAAATGTTGTTAAAGTGCCACTCTGTCGTTTATCAGGTCCAAAAAATTGTCCAAATCGCTGCTAATGAATATAGTCCAATAACTAGCCGTCATGTGACACCTGTTACTTTTTACAGCGCTTACCTGGATTAACCATTTACAATCATTTATGATTTCGATATATATATATATATATGAAGAGTTCAGATGCAATAGCCTCCAAGTGCCGTATGAAATGTTCTTTTAAATAAGCATTTTTCTCAGGCTCCTACGTTTATGTTCAGTTATTTCACTTTAATGGCAATGAAAAGAACCTATTCATTGCCATTAAAGTGAAATTACTGAACCTACACATAGGACTCCTATGATAGGAGTCTAATAAAATGCAAATTTGCGTCTGAACTCTTCATATATATGTATATATTCCTAATAGTATGCAAAAGAGGAATGCATGTTTATTTATTTAAATCATTTAAATAATTAAACGTGTTACTTACGAGTCTCAGTCACTTTAAAGTTAATAAAGTTACAGTGTTGTATATTTTACTGATCTAATATATATATATATATATATATTCTTTTTTCATTTATTTTCTCTGTTCTCAAGTTAAATAATAATAAAAAATAAGCATAAACAAAAATACATGAATGAACTGATTAAATGACAAAATAATGCAAGTAGCCTAAACCTTGGCATTAAAAATAACTGTAAACCAAACCACAAATAAGAATTTACAGTGTGATTTATTTTATTAAAAATAATAATCATAATACAGTACTGTCACCAACATTATTAAGCAGTATTCTCCATAAGGCTATGAAGGCATTTTATAAATCAACAGATATTGTTCAAAATAAAGTCAAAATTTGTGGTTCTCAAATAAAACAAATGTCTTAATTAAACATAAATACAAATAAATACATTATTTCGAAGTAAAATTTAGTCAACTGAAAATCATAATTTTGATGGCATAATCTTTACAATAATAACTTTACAAGTAAAGTATTCCTTCATTTGTTTCAGAAACCTCTGGTCTCGGACCCCGTATATCAAAGCACTCAGTAATCTTGGCATAATATTTGTGATTAGATAATTAAAGAAAGTGATCTTTGTTCTGTGAACAGGAAAAAAAGGCGTGACTATTAAATCCAAAACAGGGGCGATATAGGAAAGCATACAAAGTAGTAACTGGACACCATGCAACAATATTGTACTCCGAGCCTTATTTGCTGAACCCTTTGAAACAGCCTTTCTGGCAGTAAAAAGGACTCTGCAGTAAGTATAGATGAGAATTATCCACACCAGGGACATATAAATGACTTGTGAAGCAGTGGTGCGATCCTTGTGGGCTTTGGAAGGGAATAATCTGAATGGATAGCAAAGTACAAGAGAACTGAAAAAAGATATGGGCTGGATTAAGAGTAAAATAATGATATCTGCCAGAGAAGGTATAACTCCTATAACCCACAGCAAACATATAAAAATGTAGGTCCTTTCTGGTGTGCAAATCTGAGCGTGATGCAGTGGTTTACAGATAGCAATGAAACGCTCTATTGCCATACCAGCCAGATTCAATGGAGTGATCATAAAGGTGGTTGAACCAAGCACCACCAATACGCAACACAATGAAGCATTCACAAGTGGTGAAACGTAGGTCAACACATATAAAGTCACTGATATGCATATCATGAGCATGTCATTGATTACCAGGTGAATGTATAAAATGTATCTGGAGTCTCTTGAAAACATTGGATTGGAGAAGAAAGTCACCACTAGCATTCCGTTAATGAAATTAATGACAAGACCGAGAGAAACAATCACAAGGTTTTTGGCAAGAGCTTCTTCATAACTATCCACAATCCAGACCGTCGAGTTCATTTTCCAGTTCTTTACAAGCAAGGATCTGGAATGGAAATAGGAGAGAGTGGTAAAAAAAAAGATCACCTACTACAGACTTAACTTAGACTATTCATTTGAGAAGTCTTATAGATATACCTTGAGCAGAAGAACCAGTTCTGGATGGTGGGCAGTCTGAAGCTCACATGAGTTTTAATCAGTAGAGTGCTTCTGTATGCTATTTATGGTTTGTGGAAAGGGCAGAGATCATGAATATTAAACACGATGGTCATAGCCATTAGGCCATTTTAAATTAGTCTATTCAAACGTTTGCATGTTTGCAATGCAAATACTGCACTCTCTGCATTGCCACAAGAGGCATTATAGCATCATTAAAGGATTAGTTCACTTCCAGAATAAAAATGTCCTGAGTATTTACTCACCCCCATGTCATCCAAGATGTTTATGTCTTTATTTCTTCAATCACAAACAAATTAAGGTTTCTAACAAAAATATTCCAGGATTTTAAAACTTCAACGGTGGCAAATGGGTTGAAGGTCCAAATTGCAGTTTCAACGCAGCTTCAAAGGTCTCCACATGATCCCAGCCGAGGAATAAGTGTCTTATCTAGTGAAACGATCTATCATTTTATCGTTTATCGAGGAATGAGAGAAGACCCTCATTCCTCGGCTTGGATCATGTAGAGCCCTTTGAAGCTGCACTGAAACTGCAATTTGGACCTTGGCAACCCATTGGCAGACATTGAAGTCCACTATATGGAGAAAATTCCTGGAATGTTCCCCTCAAAAACCTTAATTTCTTTTCGACTGAAAAAAGAAAGACATGAACATCTTGGATGACATGTGGTTGAGTAAATTATTAGGACATTTTATTCTGAAAGTAAACTAAACCTTTAACATGGACATAACTTGTACTGTCAGTTTTGACTGCACAATTACGGTCATAATCAGATCTAGTGAATAAGCATATTGTATTAATAACCTAATATTTCAATCATAATTAGGGATTGTAAAGGTGTTGTGCAGGATCAAACGCATGATGCAGGAGAATCCAACAAACAGTCTTTAATAAACCCAACAGGAGATGGGGCAAATGCAACACAACCACAGAAACAAGAAACAAAACTGATCATAAACCAGCATGGATTCCATGATGGTCCAGGCTTGTTTATGCTGGTTATAGTTGGTTGTAGTTGTGCTGTCTGCTCATCTTTTCTCTTTTTTTCTGTTCTTGTTGTTCCTCTTATCTTCAGTGATTCTGCTTGGTAACTGCAAGTGTCATCACTAATGGTCAATCCTGTAACGTGAATCTACTTTATTTCACTGCAACACTGCTTCAGTGTTACTTTTACTCTATTTTTTTTGTAAAAAAACAAACAAAAAAAATCGAACAAATTGAGCAATCTTTAACACTGAGCTATTTGCTGTGCCATTAAACATGTAACCTGCATCATGTGTTTTTCTTATTTTTAAAAATAATTTATTAAAATAATTGTTATAATTGCTATTAAGATAATTGTTTTATTTAACTATGAACACTCACTAAGAAACATATGATTTAAAATGTGTACATGTGATGTGTTGTGGTTTTGCTGGGATAATACCAGCACCCAAAAGATCCACCAGCTAACCAGCATCCCATGTTGAAGACCAGCAAACCAGCAACCAGCATCTCAAGCTGGGAACCAGCAAACCAGCATCCCATAATGGTCCCAGCATGCAAAACACACCTTATTCTGGTAACCAGCAATGCTGGATTTTTCAGCAGGGAAGGGCTTAAATAGACAGGTGACAATTAACTAAAACAAAGGTGGAGCCGGAGAGAAGGAGCCTGACAAAGGATGGAGGGATGAGGTGAAGCCAGAGGACTAGAAGACTGTGGCGGTGGCAGGTTGACGAGGAAGCGTGGAGCCAAGGAGGAGCCAAAGGCTCGGAGGCCTGAGGTGGAGCTAGGGAATATACTTGCCAGGACGGAACTGGGGACTGGAAGGCGGATCCAGGGAGCAAAATGGAATAAACAGGGAGGAGTTGAGTGAAGAGCTAATGGGAACCAGTGGAGATGGGGCCGACAGACTGGCTGGCTTTGGAAGAGGCAGGAGACGCAGGCTGGGAACTCTGGAGACTTTGAACTAGACAGAACTGGCAGGAATTCAGGAGATTCTGAGCTTAGCAGAACCAGTGGGGATGCAGGAGATTCTAACTTGGGCAGAGCCAGCGGAGACACAGGAGATTCAGGGCTGGACGAAACCAGCGTCGATGGGAGAAATAGGTGGAAATCCTCTTACAAATAATTATAAAAACACAGTTTGCAGAGGCCAGCTGCAGCTCACCCTCAATAGCGGGAATGTGGGCAGGGCCTTCTACCATGCCCTACTCCACAAGAAATCCCACGGTGTCACAAGTTGCTGCAGGTTATGGGGCTATGACTGGCATCCCCTTGTGCTGGCTGAGTATCATGGCAGGCTTAGGCTCTCCATTTACAGTGGGCTCTAGCAA